AATTTAACCCCTTTTTTTACCCCCACCCCAATTTTTCATCACTGCCAAAAAAAAAAAAAATTCTCTTAAATTATTTCACCCAAAAAAAAAATAATAATTAAAATAAACCCGGCAAACAATTTTTTTTAGTTAAAATTTATCCCTTAAATTTTTTTTTTAACATATTTTAGCAAATAAAGTGCGTTTTTTGTGTGTTTAAATTAAGTGAACGATGGGAGAAAAGCCGAGTGTTAAATCCAAAGGCCGGCTCTTTTGGCCGGTTCGATGATGACGCGAGTCGCACCTTCTTCTTCTTCTTCTCTTTTGGCAAAAAAAAAAGAAAATAAGTGCAAAAAAAGAGAGAGATAAAATTGTGATTTTTTTTTTTGAGTGGTAAGAAAAATATTGGGAAATTTTTTTTTTTTTTTTGGAGTCGAGTTGAATGAACTATGATTTTTTTTTTCATTTTATCGATCTTTGATGGGCTCTCTTGTGGGTGGAGGTTCCCTCTATGTGTTTGGGTCAAAGGGGTGAATATATATATGTATATTTTAAAGTGGGGGAGGGGGGGGGGTTTGTGAAAAAATATTTCGTAATAGGAAATATTATCTCTTTGATGCTGTTCGATCGTTTATATTATATATACTTTTTTCATATTTCGCGGGGTTTTTTTATTTGAAAATTTTGTTTAATTGTGGAATTAATTTGTTTTTTTTTCTTTCAAAATTATTTTTTTTTTAAATATATATTTTAATTTTTTCGTTATTTTATTAGACTTTTTGTTTTATTTTCTTTCTGTTATATTTATTTTGTTTATTTTATTTATTTGATTTATTTTATTTACTTATTTTATTATTTATTATTATTATTTTTTTTAAATTAAATATTTTCAGCCACTTTATAAGAAAATATCAAAAATTGGTTTTTGACTTTAATTCTTTCTGACTAAATAATTAATTTATTTAAAACTGTCTTTAATGAAAAGTATTTCTTTTTTTTATTTTGTAATCTTTTTCAAAATTACATTAAATTTTTATTTATTTTTTATCTTAAAAATTATGTTTGTATTTATTTAGTATTTTTTTTTATTTTGCTACTTTTCATTAAAACCAAGATGTTTGTTGTCATTAAAAAAAAGAAAATAGAACAAAATTTTTTTTTTAAGACTATCTCAAGAAAATAACTATTTTTAACTGTGAGCTCGCATTATTTTTTTTTCTCTCTGTCTCTCTCTTTGTACGTAACACTTTAATTGGTTCATTATCATTGAAGACACGAAAAGAGAGAGAGAAAGAGAGAAGGAGGGAAAAGTAAATAAATAAATAACATAAATTCTCGATTATAGAATATCCGCAAATTATATATTGTGATTGTTTTTAAAAATTAAATTATATTGAAAAAATAATTTTAAAATTTATGCCCCATTCATCAGAATTTGATATATATAAAATTAAGTAATCATTTAATAACCGATTGTTAATTTTTTCATTTAAACAAATAAACATTAAATGTAAAACTGAATTGCCAATTTCTAAATAATTGAGCAATGTTCGTCAAAAAAAAAAAAAAAAGTGCATTTCATTCATTTTTTTTTTTTAGTTAATTACTTAATAATAATTTGGCCCATTTATTAATAAAAAATAAATAATAATTTTATTATTAAAAAAATAAATAATAATTTTGGTCCATTTATTATATTAAATAAATAATAATTTGGTTAGTTTATTATTAAAAAATAATAATTTTGTCCATTTATTTTTAAGTAAATAATAATTCGACCTAAATAAATAATTAATTTAATTTTCGAAATAAAAAAAAAAAATTTTTTTTAAATAATTAAAAAGGATTTTTGCGGAAATTTTTTTTTTGTTTTTTTTGTAAATATTCGAATAATAATTTACGTTTAGTATTTTAAATATATTTTTTTTCTGTTTTTTTTTTTTTTTTTTTGCTCGTGTCTCTTTGGGGAAAAATGTCGTTGGGGTGGAAAATTGAAGCACGTGGCAAATGCAAAGAACGGAAGTCCCCGGGGGCATTCGGTATAGTGAATTTTCGAGGGGGTCCTTTTCGCACAAATGAAACTCACTTTTCCGTCAATTCAAAAAGTTGTTTTAAGCCTCACTCAAGAATATGAGTCATTGTTTCTCCTCTTGTCTCCCTGGGGTTATCGCGATATTCCCTTTCTCTCTCTACGTGTTTGCTCTTCACGCGTAATCCATATTTCTCTCTCACACACACTCGCTTTGTTTTTTTTGATTTTTTAAAAAGAATTCTTCTATCCAGATTTATATCTTTTAATATTTTATCATTTATTATTTATTATCTGTGAAATTTTGATTGTATTATTTTTCATTTACATTTTTTTTTATTTTAATAATCATATAATAATAAAATAGTAATATAAAATAATAATATAATAATAATAAAAAAAAATAATAATAATAATTTGTTACTACGATAATTAAAATTGTTTATTGTTGTTTAATTTTAATTATTTATTAATATTAATTAATTGGTAAATTATGTAGGCTTTTAATTTTTTGCGAATATTATTGTTAACGTTATTATTATTATTATTATTATTATAATTATTACTATTTTTATTATTATTATTACTACTATTTTTATTATTATTACTCGATTATTATTCTATGAAATATTTATTATATTTTTTATATAAATATTATAATTAATTTTTAAAATATTTATATATTTCATAAATTTATATAAATAAATAAATTATATAAAAAATATAATTATATTAATATAAGTTGTCAACTTTTTGGAAAATTATTTTTTATTATTATTATTATTATTATTATTATTTTAAATCATTTCTAAGTGGAATTTTATTGCTTCTTCAAATCTCTTTATTTTTTTTTATCATAATTTTTTTTTTTTTAAATAGCAAGGTTTTTAATTATATATTATATATCTATCTTTCTAATTGTATATAAGAGGCCTTTATTATTTGAAGATTGGTTATTGCAATACTATAGCAAAAATCACAAGAAGTTTCGTGTGTTCCTTTTTCTTTTGACCCAGACTAGAGAAGGTTAGGGTTTTTTTTTTTTTATTTTTTTTCAAGGTCTAAGGTGTATAACGCGAACTATATAGATATATGTTACCTGAGTTCGAGAAGGCGACTAATCCGGTTTAACGTCAGATTTTGCTCTCTGATAATATTTAAAAAGAAAAAAAAATCAACTGAGAATCTTAGAAAATCATTTTTTAAACGCATTTTTAACTCGAAATATCTTTTTTTGATTTTCTCAGAAATATATACGTTTGTGTATTTTCTTTTTTGGAAAGAAATACAATTTAAAGATTCGTTAAATTCTTTCTGATTTTTTTATTTTTGTAATTTAAATTTTTCTTTTTTAACAAATTTTTTTCGATTATTTTATTTATATTTATAAATATTTATTATTTATTAATAATTTCTAAATATTTACAAATTATAAATAAATTAAAATATATTTATAATAATAATTAATAATTAATTATAAATATTATGCGAGGAAAAAAAATATTTATCTGGAACAGCGATATGTTTCTCTAGAATAGCGAAAACTTTAGCTGTTTTAGTGAAATATATCGCTGTTCCAGGTGAAGATTTCTTTTTCATGATAAATATTTATTATTTATTAAATAATTATAAATTATTATAAATATAATTTATTTATTTATTTTAAATTATTATAAATATAATTTATTTATTTATTTTAAATTATTATAAATATAATTTATTTATTTATAAATTTTTTAATAGAAAAAATTTAATGTTTCTGCATTATTTTTCATGATATTTGCAATATTTGTAGAGCAAAAGAAGTTTAAGAAAAATATAAAATTAATTGTTAGGTATACTTTGGCAAAATTGAAAATTATATTAATTAAAAAGCAATTCGAAGAATTTTTCATTTTTTTTTATCTTTTTCGACCGAGTTATATGGTTTACAAGACTGGTAATTTTCTCTTATGATCATTTACATTTTATAGTACGCGGTTTTCTTTCATTTTTTTTTTTTTTTTTTTTTTTATTATTATTATTTTTATCTTAATTTTTTTTTTTTTATTTTTGCAACAACTGGAACGATATTTTTCTCGTTATTATGCGCGTGTATAGACACAAGTGTAATAAATTTTGATTCACAACGTCAGTCACACAAGAAAGCCATTGATATCGCATTCCGGGAAACAGAACTTGAATGAATAGTCACATTTTACAAATGTATATAAACGCATTGAGAAAAGAGAGAATCTTCAAAAGTTATCTCGCGAATTAAAAAAAAAAATTAGATTTTTTGCTTCTTGCGTCGTTAAAAAATGAGTAAAACTTACAAAAGAGAAAAAAAATTTGAAATTTACGTTTCTTTTTGTAAAATTTGCTTTTTTTCAATTTTTTTATAATTTTATTTATTTGAAATGCAATAAATAATTTTTAATTAATTATTATTTTAGCAGAATTGTCGTATTCGTAACCTTTATGGTGTATAGATCGATTCGCCCTCGAGTTTCCAATCTATGTACTGTCGGTAAAGTCGTAAACGAAATTGCGCGCGAAATTTAAATTTTCTATTCAAATATTAACAATTTTTGATATTTATTTTATCTAATAATAATGATTAATTATTAACTAAAAATTATTCCAATTTACAATTAAAATACAACAAATTAGTTACTTTTAGTATTGAATTTAAAAATTAATTTTTACATATTTTCTTTATGGGTCTGAAAAATTAATTCTATTTTCTTTTTTTTTTAGTTAAAACCCCTTAATTTTTATAAAATATCCCATTTAATATTTATTAATAAAAAAAAAAAAAAAAATTAAAATTTTCATATAAATAAAATTAAAATCAATTAAAATATATTACAACAGAGCACCATCGATCCAGTTGGAAGAATTGAAGCCGAAAAGAAACAAATTCGCTAAATCAAGTGACGCGAGTTTTCAAGTGACAATATTAAAAAAGGAATTCAGTTAAAAAAACCAAAAAAAAAAAAAAAAAACAGTGAAATAAATAACAAAAATGTCCGCGGAAAATCAAAATCAAAATGGTGTTGCCGCACCGCAGAGTAATGGATTAAAATCATCATTGTCGAGTAGTTTATCAACAAATTCAACGACAATACCAACAATATCATCATCAGGACGAACATCAACAAATAATTCATCATTTTTATATAGCAGTAATTCAATGATAAATCGTGATAAAATGCGACAAGCACCACCGCCTACATTACCAAAATATACATCAAGTTTTAATGCCGGATCAAATGGAACAAGTGCAACTGATCGATTAACGAGAGAAAGAGATGTTGGTGGAAGCTACAGATTGGCGAGTTTGGACCGGCTTGCACTTAGACAGAGGGTGCTCGATGGAGAAAAACCAAATGGCGATGTTAATCCGGTAAGAGATCTCGGGAAATATTGCCCAAAAACAAAAAAAATTAAAAAAAAAAATTATTTAAGCTTTTATCCACCAAAAAATACTCACGAATTATGACTAATATTAATTTGTTAGAATTTTTATTGGGGCGCATAAATTTTCCATAATAATAATAATAATAGTAATAATTAATTAGAATTTTTATTTTAAAGTATTTTATTAGAAATAATTATTTCTTTGAGAATTTTCATTATTCGAATTAAAATTTTGAAAGATTTTCTGTCTATATGAATTTTTACTTAATGAAATTTTTAGTCTGCCGAATTTTTGACAGAATTTTTATTTTACAGCCATTTTCATTGCAAGACTTTTTTTATTTAAAAGAATTTTTATAATTTAATCGAATTTTAAATCAGCCGAATTTTATTTAGCCGATTTTTAATTTAGCCAAATTTTAATATAGCCAATTTTTAAATTAGGCGAATTTTAAATTAGCCGAATTTTAATTTAGGCGAATTTTAAATTAGCCGAATTTTAATTTATCCGATTTTTAATTTAGTCAAATTTTAGTATAGCCGATTTTTAATGTAGGCGAATTTTAAATTAGCCGAATTTTAATTTAGCCGAGTTTTAAATTAGTCAAATTTTAGTATAGCCGATTTTTAATTTAGGCGAATTTTAATGTAGCCGATTTTTAATTTAGGCGAATTTTAATTTAGCCGATTTTTAATTTAGGCGAATTTTAATTTAGGCGAATTTTAATGTAGCCGATTTTTAATTTAGGCGAATTTTAATTTAGCCGATTTTTAATTTCGGCGAATTTTAAATTAGCCGAATTTTAATTTATCCGATTTTTAATTTAGTCAAATTTTAGTATAGCCGATTTTTAATGTAGGCGAATTTTAAATTAGCCGAATTTTAATTTAGCCGAGTTTTAAATTAGTCAAATTTTAGTATAGCCGATTTTTAATTTAGGCGAATTTTAATTTAGGCGAATTTTAATGTAGCCGATTTTTAATTTAGGCGAATTTTAATTTAGCCGAGTTTTAAATTAGGCGAATTTTAAATTAGCCGAATTTTAATTTATCCGATTTTTAATTTAGTCAAATTTTAATATAGCCAATTTTTAATTTAGGCGAATTTTAATGTAGCCAATTTTTAATTTAGGCGAATTTTAATTTAGGCGAATTTTAATTTATCCGATTTTTAATTTAGCCAAATTTTAATATAGCTGATTTTTAATTTAGGCGAATTTTAAATTAGCCGATTTTTAATTTAGGCGAATTTTAAATTAGCCGAATTTTAATTTAGCCGAGTTTTAAATTTGCCGAATTTTAATTTAAGTCGAATGTTAATTTAACCGAATTTTAATGTGATTCGCGAATTATTTATAAATTAACAGACAATATTCCAATTCACTGAATTTTAATTTTTCCAAATTTTTAATAAATAGAATTTTTTTGCGACACTATAATAATAATAATAATAATAATAATAATAATAATAATAATAATATTAATAATAATAATAATAATAATAAATATTTTTTTAATATTAATATTATTAATAATAATAACAATGAATAATAATTATACTTATTATATCATTTCCATTTTAATATATTATTTTCCTTGCTTCGGTTTTAATCTTAATTGTTGGATGGTTTATTTTCGTTTGCAGTCATTTAATTACATTGTTGGCTCTTACTTTAATTGTTACATGTTACTTTTAATAATGAAAGCCTTTCTTTTCAATTTAAGGTTTCATTTTAATTACTCCTAACTTCCATTTGATCGCGCAGGGAGGTTTCAAAGAAAAAAAAGAAATATATTCTAAGAAAAGGATTTTTTTTTTTTAATGAAAAAAATACTTATTGTTTTATTATTTTTTTATTTTTACATAAAAATTTAACGGGTATTAAAAAAAAATTAAATTATTTTAAAGATACCAAGAAAATATACGGAAAATTTTTTTTTATCTAAAACAGGAATATGATGTTTCTCTAGAATAGCAAAAACTTTCGCTGTTTTAGTGAAACATATCGCTGTGTCAGTAAAACTTATTGTTGTTCCAAGTTAATATTTTTTTCCGCGTATCAATTCATTTTTATGAATTGTTGATTATTATTATTATTATTATTATTTATTAATTAAGCTTCAGTCTTTCGGCCCAGAAGTGGACTTGGTTTAATACAAAATTAAAAAAATATATATTAAAAATATATTATTATTATTATTATTATTATTATTATTATATTAATATTATTACTTGAGATTATGCAATAATTTGTATAATAATAATGATTCTAAAAAAGGAAGCTTTGAGAACCCTTTTTGCCTTCATGTCCCTTAGCAATATATTGCAAAACGTTAATGAGCGTAGAGGAGCTTTTTCCACCCTTCAACAATGTATTTTAAAAAGGGTCGTTTCGCTATATGGAAAGCTCTAGAAAAATTTCAAGGAGAAAATTTGACAATGTGCGTGTGCACGCGTACCTCAACCACTTACATATATAGAAAAACCCAAATGAGAGAGAAAGAGAGAGTAGGGAAAAATATTATTTTTCGCATACTAACTCCTATATATATCAAAGAAGTAGGGTATATGCGAATTGTTTTTAACGATTTTATTTTTTGTGTTCGTTATATGCATTCTCTCTTTTCGCGATAAAAAACCAATTTCACATGCACATTCCTATGCCGAAATCCACTTCCTGCGAAAGGAAACAATTATATTATATTATATATATATAGAGGAATTTCTATTCTCGACGCAGTCAAACTGAAAAAATGTTTTCAATTTCAATGCAAAATACTTTTAAAAAAAATTTTATTTCAATTTTATGTATAAATAAAATCTAATTTAACCGAATTTTAAATGATTAGAATGTTTATTTATATTTTCAATTTGTCCGAATTTCTATTTGTCCGAAACTGCAAATGGCCGAAAAAATAAGCGATAGAAATATTTTACCGCAAATTAAAAAAAAATTAACCCAAATCAGAAATGAAAAAAATTTTAAATTGATTAATTTTAAAATTCGCGGCAAAATCTTTTTGCAATGTTTGTTCGGCCATTTGCAGTTGTGGACAAATAAAAATTCGAATAAATGAAGATTTTTGGTCAAAAAATGGAAATATTTAAATGTAAAATCACTTAAAATAATGAATGAAAATTATTATTTTTTTTTTCTGACAAATTAGTACCCGCCTCTAAATAATTATTATTGGCATTCTTTTTTGAAATTCTTTAAAAAAAAAATTTGTCACAAAACTTTTTATTTAAACGAATTTTCAATTAATAGAATTTCCATTCTGCGAAATTTTCACATATACATGACGTTAATACTATATATTAGTTAAATATTCCTCGAGTTTCCAATCTATATACTGTCGGTAAAGTAGATACTCCAAATTAGGCGCGAAATTTAAATTTCTATTTAAAATTTTTAGAAACTACGAAATAAAAGTAAAAAACGGCAAAACTATAAAAAAAAAGATATTTTCAATACAGAAGTCTCTGGAGTCAAAAAAAATTTGCTGCAAAAAAAAAAAAAAACGAGAACATATTTTCAAAGCAGGTGTATATAATATTCTTTTTAGAATTTTTATCTTTTGCGCTCGCGAACCGGATCGAAACATATACACAAGGCTTTTGTATATTTTCGTGGGTGTAGAGGGGGGACAGGGGGACAGAGGGGGTAGGGGTAATATGACTCATTGATTGGAACTTTGAAAGGCATATATATACATATATAGAAAGAAGATTGAGAATCACTGAAGGAGTATAAGTTATATACTATATAGGAGAGCACATGGCCAGAGACCGCACCCTCGAAGGCGATTATATTCAGTTTTAAGGGGCCCTGGGTTGCCATGCACGCGCCAATTGGGGGCTGCGAAGGGTTCCTCACACCCTCATCCGCATGTATTGCCGCGGCGAACATTTTTCACGAGCCGCAGAAAAAATATAAATATACATTCCATTTGAAATAAAATAAGCTTCCATCGAGAAGATGAGAAACCGCATTTTAAAATCACAGAAAAAACAATGGATAAATTTGGTTGCGGGTAATTTTAACCAATGCCAATTCACCAGAGATCGCTCAACTATAGGATAAAATTTCACGTATAGAAAAAATTTTGCTGTGGCAGCGAACAAATTTGCTGTGGGGGTCAAAAAAGTTGCGAACTATTTGCTGTCACATCACATTACGTTAGCTAATATAACAAATTTTGCTGTGGGTTCGAAAAAGTTCGCTGTAACGGTAAATTTTTAAAAATTAATATATTGTATATCACAGCAAACTTTTTCGATGCCATAGAAAAAAATTTAGCAGTGGTTACTAATTTTAAAAGATCCGATAGCAAACATTAGTTAGCATTAATTCCTTCTTTACTTTGCCAGTTAATTTTTATACCGATTTTTAGGATAAAAGTTGTACTATTTTTTCGTTTAGGGAAAAAATTTTAAAAATTCCATATTACTAGATTCTTTCATTGTGTCATATATAGACACATTGACATTCCTTCGACGGTTTCTTTATGCGAAAAGTCTGAGCCAGGAGTTTCATTTATTGCTGTCTTGGCTGTTTTTGCTCATTCTTGCCTCATCAGTTGCAAGGTGTCTTCGCTCTGAATACAGAATTGTTTGAATTTCATTTCAAGTGCAAATAGATTAGATTATAGCCGGGGATTTTGTTCTTTAATCGTATTTATAGTTCTTTTTATTTGGTTCTTATTTTGTTTCCTTTTTATAAATTTTCTATCTTTTATTCTGTTTCTACTTTTTTTTCTATTTCTATTTTCCTATTTTTTCTCTTTTTGTATATAGGTTTAAAAAAAAATGGTGTATTTGAATTTCGCGCCAAAATTTACTCTGTTTTATCGACTCATCATAGATAGGAAACTCGCTAGTAAAAAATTAATATATGAAATTCTTATTTTTACGATTGCTTTTTATGTTATTCAATTTATTTATTTCAAATAAATACAGGTTCCTAGGTCCTCTGAGGAACAGGT